CCGGGGGGACGGGGCTGGGCGGCCCGGACGCCAGAACCTCCCACAAGGGTTCCCCCGACTTCGGCGCCCAGCGTGGCGCGGCCCCCCGCGCGCTACCCTGGGGGTCCGACGGCAGCCGCGGACCTCGCGTGGGTCCGCCACGTCACGAAGGGTGCGCCCCCGGGCGGGCGGGTGTGGGGGGGAGGAGCCGGGGCTGTCCCCCCCCTCCTCGCGGCGCTCCTCACACCGCGCCTCGCCCAGCCGCGTCGCCCCTCACCTGCCTTCCCCGGCCTCTCCGGTGGTGGCACTCGGCCGCAGGCCTCTCGTCCAGGCGTCACCCCCACCACAGGCGGCCGGCAAGCCCACGACGGCTGGAACGCCCGGACTACCTGTCTCTTTAAATACGGGTCCTTGAGCGGACCGAGGCGCGCAGGCGCAACAGCAGAGGCCCGAGCTACGCGGAGTGACCACGCCCCCTGCCGCCACGTGCGTCGCGGGCAGGCCCCGCCCCCCCAATCGTAACCAGTGGCTGAGGAATGGCTGTGGCACTAGGTCTTGGGCTTGTCGGTCTGGGCTGCGTACGGTCCGCCCTAGCGTTCTCATTTGTTAGAAATTACGAACTCCTTAGAGATGATCGTGATGATCCTGGGGAAGGCAGAGAGAGAGCAATTCTACCTATATTTTCTGTATTCCCAGTCTTGTGCCTACGAGGAACATAGTGAGTAACTTGTACTGAGTTGAAAAAGAAGTACTAGGTGGTAGGTAAGTAGGTAGAGGTAGATACAATATAAAGGCATATATAAAGCTTAAGTCTGAGGGCTGGGAAGGTGGCTCAGTGGTAGAGCGCTTGCCTTGCATGCATGAGGCCCTAGGTTCGATTCCTCAGCACCACATAAGCAAAAAGAAAAAAGCCACAAGTGGTGCTGTGGCTCAAGTGGTAGAGTGCTAGCCTTGAGCTGAAGAGCTGAGGGACAGCGCCCAGGCCCGGAGTTCAGGCCCCATGACTGGACCCCCCCCCCAAAAAAAAAAGCTTAAGTCTGTTTTGTAAGTTTGAGGTGGCTTTTTATTTTGGTGATGATCCCTTTTTGATTATGTGGTACCCAAGTCTTGAATCCCGGGCCTCATGGGTGCTAGGCAAGCACTCTGCCACTAAGCCAGACTCCCTGCCCTGAGGTAGCTATTCTTACAAAAGAGCAGTGGGCTCCAAGAAGGTAGGTGATCTTGTTCAGAGTAGGGAAGGAAAAACAGTGGGCTTTCTTAATTAAGCAAAGAACAGATCCCTAAGGGAGTTCTGTGGAGAGGGATAACTTGGCCTTTATTTTGTGGGAGAAGGGCCAGGTCAGAGCCTAGCCTACAGTCATCCTGAAGCAAATGAACCATGCATCCTCTTGTCGCCCTTTCAGAGACAAAAGTGGCCTGAACTCATTCAGTGGGGGAAGAGGTGGGGAAGGAAGGTGCATGTTTGAACGTCATTACACTTAAAAATTACCTTCTCAATAAAGTTCTCATTTATCCGTGGATGAAATAAGGATGACTTAAGTGAGCAGATGAAAAAAAAAATTCTTAGGTGAACTAGGAAATAAGAGGAAAAGGAGTTATTTGGAGTAAAAGGATGAACTTTGTTTTGAGTGTATAAAGTTTGGTGACAGACCCACCAGGATTCCAGTGTTTGTGTTTTAACCATGTAGTCCAATGTGTTTTAACCATGTGGTCTAATGAACAGGGGTGCTGGGAATGGAAGGTCTGGAAGTTCAAGGCCTAACTCCAGTTATCCTAGATAAATGTTATACTACTTCATTTGGGCCACTCCAGTGCTGCCGAACTTGTCTCTATAACTGCAAGGACTACATTTTGATTCAAAAATCTGAACTACATCTTTTCAAGGCTATAATCCCTCCCTATACGTGGCTTTTGAACAGTTGAAATACGGCCAGACTCAATTGAGAGATGCAATGAGTGAAAAATGTCTCCCCTCAAATAAGTAGTTAACAATAGGTGGTTATTATAATTACTAAAGGGAGAAGAAAGGGAAGCTTTAGTTCCTGGGACTCTTGAACCACTAGGCATCTGTGGGCAGGCCAGGGGCATCCTGAACCCCCTGAAATTTTAAATAAAGGTTTGTGCCCATGGGCATTTTGGACCACAGAAGTTTGATTGGAGTGTCAAAATAGTTCTATGAGCCAAACCAAAACATACCTGGGTTGGGAATAATCAGAATACCCCAGGCCTGTTCAGAACTCCACAGTTAACTCCTTTCCTTAGCTCTTAACCTAAATCCTCCAATTATGGTGTTTGGGAGTATCTCAAAACTAACACTAAGACTGTCATCTCTGATTACAAGTTTAAGAGTCATCAGGATGCTTAAGAAGGAGAAGATCCCAACCCACAGAGAAATGGAGAGTGTTTATTGTCTGTGTTGTTCACTAGAAGGTAGAAAGTCATGAGCAAGACTCTCCTTTCCAGAAAGGACAAACATGTTTCTCAGGAAGTGGGTTTGTGTTTGGTGAATTCACTTTTTAAAATAGGCTCTACTCTATGAATCACATAAATCTCAGCAGTGAGAGCTGATTTTCCACTTTGGTCTGCTTAATAGTGGCACAATTAAACTAAATTGCAAAAACAAACAAAAAAAAACAGTGGTGGGGTTAGCCAGGATAAATATTTAAAAGGAAGCAGCTATAAGAAGATGCAATAATTCAGCTCAGCCCATGGTTTTTCCATTCTCTGTCCAGGCTGCTTAGGTTGGTTCTTAACCAGGTTTCTTGGCCTCTCCTTTGAACATCTTGTCCTGCTGATGCCATGTTGAGGACTGAGGGCTTTGGGAGTGGCTGATGCGTAGCTGAGAGGTGTAGGGGTTCTAGGGGTGGGCTAAGAGGAAAGCTGGGTCACAGATTACGTTAGCCACTCAAAATAGCTGTTGTCTTCTCTGAGCTCCTGGGTTAGGTTTTCTGGTGGGTATGTTTTAGGAAGAAAGTAAGTTTTAAAGAAAAAAAATTATTTTACAAAGAGGTAAGCTTATTTGGGAAGCAAATACAGAGCTGGTGGATAGGTAGCACTGGTGACTAGTGTTTGAACTTTGGTTTAGGGCTGGGAAGAGGTTAAAAACACGCTTCCTACCACTTCAGTTCCTGGAACCAGTTTCCTTATACCAGGAGAGCCTTGCTCCCTCTTCTGCTAGGTCCATGCCATCCACACTCCCTAGCTTGATGGCCTCTGACCTACATGGTCTTGGTGATAAGCAGAAGTGGGGGATCTTTAGGCAGTACTCAGACAGGATACTCTGAGACTCACAGAATAAACTGTCTAGATAAATGTTACTTAGCCAGTGAGTGGCAAAGGTGGGACTGTGACCCTAGACTTTATTTTACCCTGTTTTTACCTTTTCTTTTAGGCAGGGATTTGCTATGTAGCCCAGGCTGGCCTTGAACATACCATCATCCTCCCTCATACTCCTGAATGATGTGATGGATTATTGGAGCATGTGACACCATGCCCCACAAAAATTGAATTGCTGATTAGCTCTCTACCTATGGCCTGTACTGGTATGCCTAGTTTTGTAAGCTGTTTATAATACAGTCAGATTGTAGTTTTCTTGTGGTTAAAGACTTTTTTTAAATTCAATATTAAATTTTTAAAAAATTCAATTTAAATTTATTCAACAGGTATTTCAGTATTTTCTGCAGGGCATTGGCTGGATGCTAGGGCATTGAGACTAAACATAGACCCTACCATTGTGCAGCAGTTTACATGGCTTCTTCTCTTTGTGCCAGTTCTGGGGCATGAACTCAGGGCCTGGCTGCTGTCTATTAGCTTTTTTGCTCGAGGCTAGTGCTCTACCACTTGAGCCACAGTTCCATTCCCTGCTTTTTGGAGGCTAATTGGAGATTAGAATCTCATGGACTTTCCTGTCAGGGCTGGTTTTAAACATCAATCCTCAGATTTCAGACTCCAGAGTAGTCAAAATTGCAGGTATATGTCCGGGAAGGTGGCTCAGTGGTAGAGTGCTTGCCTTGCATGCATGAGGTCTTGCCTTGCATGCATGAGGTCCTGGGTTCAGTTCCTCAGCACCACATAAGCAGAAAAAGTTGGAAGTAGCACTATGGCTCAAGTGGTAGAGCCCTAGCCTTGAGCTGAAGAGCTGAGGGACAGTGCCCAAGCCCAGAGTTCAGGCACACACAAAAAAAGAATTATGGGTGTGAGTCATTAGTGCCCTGCCTGATACATGGCTTTTCATTTCTTTCTTGCAGACCAATACATGGTAGCTGACACTAAAGAAGGACTCAGAAAATATTTATTATTGTGAAAGAGACTATGTGTGCTTCTTACATGTGAAACACCGTTGAGCACCTGTGCATGAGTGTTTAATCTTCATGGTAAATCCAAGAAGCAGGTTCCATTATTATCTCAGCAGATTAAATAGGTTGAAGTTTCTTTATTGCTTCAAGCATTGGTTTCTGCTACTGCAAAACTGCCTGAAGCACTTATTTGAAGTGCTGTTTCCTCCAGGCCCTGGTGGCTCAGGGCTGTAATCCTAGTTACTAAGGATCAAACTGTCTTTACCCAGTTGAGAAACATAAAACTTTCTCAGTCCAGAAATGTCTGCTTTTCTTTTTTCCCCCTATAGTGGAATCCTATGTGTGTGTGTTGAACTCTAGATCTAAAGCTTTCTCTTGGCTTTCTTACTTAACTAGTGTTCTCCTACTTGAGCCATGCCCTGGCTTTTTGCTCCTTATTTGGAGACAGTGTCTTAAGGACTTTTCTACCCAGCTAGCTTCAAACCATGATCCTCTGGGTCTTAGCCTCCTGATTAGCTGGGATTATGGACATGGGCCACTGGTGCCTGGCTTGCATATATGCTTTTGACTAGGAGTCTATACTCCACTGGTCTATAAACTAGATCCTGTATATTTCAACCCCAATAGACTTTCTGTTCTGTCTCTCACTATTTCCTTCCATAACCCTTTACTTCAGCCCACAATATTTTTCTCTCCTCCAGTGCTTGGCAAAATTTTCCTCATCCTCAAAAGTCTTAACTACAATTTTAGGTCCTTTATCTCAACTTTCCTCCACAAAGTTGTTCCAGCCCCCATCCCCAATCCAACGTGTTGCCCATACATGCCGATTTTATTACATTATCTTTTCTCCCCACCTCGGTCAATCATGGGGCTTGAACTCTGGGCCTGGGCGCTGTCCCTGAGCTCTTCAGCTCAAGGCGAGCACTCTACCACTTAAGCCACAGTGCCTCTTTCAGTTTTCTGGTGGCTATTGGAGATCAGAGTCTCATGGACTTTCCTGCCCAGGCTGGCTTTTTGAACCATGATCCTAAGATCTCAGCCTCCTGAGTAGCTAGGATGATAGGCATGAGCCACCAGTGCCCAGCTTTATTACATTATTTTATAGTTAACTGTGTACATTTAGATCAGTAGTTTGCACAATTTGCCCTCAAGAAACATTTAGCATTTCTGGAATTATTTTTGGTTGATAACAATGTAGAGCAGTGGGGTATTGGTTGAGGCCAGGGATGCTGCTAAACATCCTACAATGGACAGCAGGATAGTCCCCACCTTTGTTCCTGAGAGTTTCCCAGTCCAGTTGGTAGTAGTGTAGTAGAAGCTGAGAAGCCCTTACTTATACTGAGATCCATTGGCTCAGGATCCATTTTATTAATCTTTCAAAAATCTCCAGGATCTCTCAAAGGATAGCTTCTTGGTAAATGTCAAGTATACAAATGAGAGTGAGAAAATGAATGGGGCAAACTTTATTACAGGTGAAATAAAGTTACTGTCATTTTGGGAGATCCTCTCACATTTCCACATTTCATTATTAAATATACAAAGATGTAACTGGGAATTAAGTTACATTTAATCTTACTTCAGCAATTAACTTGCTATTGACCTTGGACAAGTCACTAGATAGAAACAGAGGTGTCAATGGTTATTTTACTTCTCTGGTGCATACTGAGACTTGAAAACTGATGTGGACAAATACTATCACAATATTAAATAATGATGCAGGGTTATAGTGGAGATAGGAGGAATCTTCTGTGGGTTTTTTTTTTTTTTTTTGCTTTGTGATTTCACTTCTGTGGCGTTTCCTTATCTGTAAAATAGGTATTTTACAGAATTGTGAGAGTTAGATACAGTGTATCTCAAGCCCTAGCATAGTGCCACACACTTATTAGATATGGTAGTTGATAACTGACGTCCTGGTTTGACTGACACTACATTATGTAACCACATTTAACAAACCAGACACACCATCTACTACCCAGTGTGGTTCTTCCTTTTGCCACAGTGTAGAAACCTGCCAAGTGCTGTAAGCAAAATGGAGGTGCAGCCAGATGGAACTCAGTTCCTCCTCCGAGGGCCTGGGAATGCTTTCAGTGAAGGCCGAATGCAGAGATTCACTCTGAAAAGGCTTTGACTGCCAAGTGACAGGGGGAGCCAGCCAAGTGCAATGGTGAGGGCGGAGAGCAGCTGGGAGGCTGCGTGTACTTGCTGACTTTTGATCTTACTCTGCTACTGAATCACTTTCTTCCTCCAGTTTCTCATGTAGGCAATCAGGGCTGCCCACAAGCTCCCACTGACATATGGACATTGCTCTCTGCTTGTTTGGTGACATGAGGAATTCCTATTTGCTGCTAAGTGTGGAGGTGGTCCATTCTACTGGAGAGGGTGTTGTATACACCTCCTCACTGTTGTGTGCTCAGAATAGGTAAAGATTTTATATGCCAGAGTAACATTGCAGGAAAAGCTTTCTTGGCCTTTTGTTGAAACCTGGGACTCTTCACCCACAGGTAGCATGCTTACCACATGAGCTACTCCTCCAGTTTCACAAATATCTAACTTCTATTCCAATTCCGACTTCTAGCTTTACCCATTCAACATTTATCGAGACCTTCTATGTTCCAGGCAGTATCTTAGGTTGTAACTAAGGCAAACTCCTGCACTTGTGGAATTTATGTTCTTCTGAGACAGACATTAGTTTGTTAACAAATAAACAAGCCAGTTTAAGATAGTAATTAATGAATTCATACAATAATGTGATAGGACAAGGACAGCAAGCCCTGACATGGCGCTTGTGAGACTAGAAAGCTAGCCAGGGACAGTGAAAAGGAAAAGCACATCATCAGGGAATCAGGAAGGAAATAAGAAGGGTCCCCAGAATACAGCCCATTGAAAACAAAAGGCCTGACTTACAGTTTCTCATGCAAATTAAAGACATGCCATGTCACCATGGCAGGCCACTATTCTGGGCTCAGAATAATGGCTTCAATGTGGATCAATTATGCTTCCCTGTGCACTTGTCTTCCCGACTGGGGCTTGGGTCATCAGTTTATAAGTACTGCTTGGTACAGGCATGTTTTTTTTTTTTTTTTCCTCTTTCAGTGTGTATGATGGAAACAATGAGGGCTTTAAGCGAGTGACTTAATCAGGAAATTCAACTATCATTCTGTTAAAAGATTGTGGCTACTGTGGGGAGAAAGGCAATAGTGAATGAGGTGAGATGTTGGTGACTAGGACAGTGGAGAATGAAGTAGACAGATTCTGGGTATATTTCAGAGACAGAGCTGGCAGGACCTATACTTGGGGAGAAAGGAAATGGCAATAGCTCACTCCCAGGGCCTGCCTTGATTACTTGGGAGGGCAGTAGTACCATTTGCCAAGACTGATGACTAGTGTAAATGATTCCAGGAAGAAAAATAACAGCTATTTGAAATTTACTAGATTTAGGACACATATTAAACATCTGATTGGAAAGTTAAGTACCTAGATAGGTAGCTTAGCAGGAAAGTATAAACTGGGTGATATTTAGGCCCAAGGATTGGAAAAGATCTCTTGAGAGTAGAAATGTTAGAAAACACAATTCAGTGAGTCCTGGTTGCTTTTTGTGTTTTCCTCCCTGTTCACATTAAAAATTTCCAAATTCTAGCCAGGTGCTAGGGTTCACAACTGTAACCTTACCTACTCAGGAGGCTGAGATCTAGAGGATCATGATTAGGAGGTAGCTTGGGTACAAAAATGCAAGACTTCATCTACAAAAAAAAAAAAAAAAAAGCAATAAAGTAGGGCTGGAGGCTTGACTCAAATGGTTGTATGCTAGCCAAGCAAGCCAGCCCTGGTGCTGGGGGAAAAAAAGCAAAGAAATCCAACCCCAAATTTATGGTAAACAGACATATAGTATTAAAAAGCAGTCTAAGCCAGGCACTGGTGGCTCACAACTGTAATCTTAGCTACTTAGGAGGCTGAAATCTGAGGATCACTGTTTGAAGCCAACCTGGGCAGGAAAGTCTGTGAGTTTCTTATCTCCAATTAAGCACCAAAAAAGCCAGAAGTGGACTTGCAGCTGAAGTGGTAGAGCACTTAGAGAGAGAGAAATATATA